GGGGGGGGGGGGAGGGTAACAGCGTGGCACACTATTAATATTGAAAAGCTTCCCGATCACTCATCTACCTTTCGTCCCCGCTGTACGGCGATCTCCCTCCCCCACTCTTGGCGCTATTCTTGAACAGGACTTCAACAAGCAACTGGAGAAGAGGGAGCGATTGGCCCAAGAGGAAAGCAAGAAGTTGTCCTTCCGCCCGGTGCTTCCCACTGCCAGCAGGTGCTGGAAAAACGCACTCTATTGTTGTTGTTGTTGTTGTTGTTGTTGTTGTTGTTGTTGTTGTTGTTGTTGTTGTTGTTGTTTTTGTTGTCATTGTTGTTGTTCGTGGTGATGGTGCTGGGGCTGAAACATGGAACGTGTGTGTACTCCGAAAAATATCGATATCGATGTTATCCGAACGAACTACAGTTCGCCAAAGCATGTTGGAAAAATGTTTTGTTGATTCCGGGAAAGCACCATGATTCACGACAACAGCTAACGATTGCCCGATTTCCCTGTGGCCCAGGGAGCGTTGGCTTCAGACTCCAAGCTACGGTAATGAAGGCCGTCGACGGAGTTCGTCCGACATTGACATGCGTTTGCTGAACACATGCCCTGCTGCAACGATACGCTATACACGTGAATCCCACAGTATGTGCTGTGCGGTTTGTGACCGGGCATCTGGTCTAGAGAATGATATCACGGTGGTCACGCAGCTCGTACTACAAAGAGCGTCGCTGCAAAGGACGCAGTTTTCTTGCCACGTTAGGTGCACATGGGATATCTTCCATCACTTCATCTTTCGACATGACGGTGCCACCTCTTTGAGAAACACCGCCGTTGTAGCACACTGTAGATGGCAACTGCCAACCCCTGCCCTGGCGAACGCTTTGTACCACAGACATTGGTACCCCCCTCCACTTCGCCGTCTCTGCACCGTGCCTGTCGCCGCCTGCTGCCGTGGGTGTCTCAAGCCGCCTGGCAGCCAAGATGTCGGCGACTACCCCAGTGGAATGGCATAAGCGGGCGGAGGACAAGTCCAAGGCCACCGCCGAGGACATGTACAAGGAGTGCACCTTCTCCCCCGACACGGTCGTCACCAGGGCCCTGACGAAGAAGATTCTGGCTGCCAAGGGGAAGCAGGTAGATTTGGAGGAATGATCTTCGTTGAATTTGTTGCCGTTGTTGTTGTCGTTGTTGTTGTTGTTGTTGTTGTTGTTGTTGTTGTTGTTGTTGTTGTTGTTGTTGTTGTTTTTGCCGTTGTTGTTGTTGCTGCCGTTGTTGTTGTCGTTATTGTTAATGTCGTTCTTGTTGTTGCCGTTGTTGTTGTTGTCGGTGATTATCGTCTTGTCGACCATAATCCCACAAGCATAGCATAAAATCCCATCGGCCACCGACGTAAACGGACGGAAAAGTCGTGTTTTCGACACTTTTTGGTCTCAACAAACGGGGGACAGATCCACTAGCTGGATCTATTGTCTTCAACACGACGAAAGCGCGTCGAATCATCGTTTTGTGAAAACAGGAGCAACGGTAGATACCGAACCCGTGACCTTTTCACGCCACAACAGAGAGATGGAGAGATGGAGAGAGAGAGAGACAGAGAGAGAGAGAGACAGAGACAGAGAGAGAGACAGAGAGAGAGAGAGAGAGAGAGACAGAGACAGAGACAGGGAGAGAGAGAGACAGAGACAGGGAGAGACAGAGATGGAGAGAGAGAGAGATATATATATATAGAGAGAGAGAGATGGAGAGATGGAGAGATAGAGAGATAGAGAGAGAGAGACAGAGATAGAGAGAGATAGATAGAGAGAGACAGAGAGAGAGAGAGAGAGAGAGAGAGACAGAGACAGAGATGGAGAGAGAGAGAGATAGAGATGGAGAGAGAGAGAGAGAGACAGAGAGAGAGAGAGCGAGAGAGAGAGAGAGAGA